GGAGTGATAGGTCCCCTTTTACCTCCCCTCTCACGTGCCCCGATTTGATAGATCCCAGGCCCAGTACAGCAGCAGCCTGGTGACCTCTGATTTGAATGACCACGTATTCTAATCATAGTACACTATTTTTAAAGCATTTAGGCATTTTCGAATACTAGCACGTAGTCGACAACTCAGCCGCCCGGATTAAGTAAAGGTCCCTCTCGCCGGTTCTAATTTTTCCGTTTTGTTGTTGTTGTTTTTTTGTTTTTCCGCGATCCAACCTGAAGAGTTCCAGCAAAAAGTTCAAAATGTCCGCGAAAAATTGCTGTACTGTAGATACCGGTATTCTCTACAAAAAATTCACAACAACTTGAAAAAACTAACAAAAATAGTGCCTGGTTAATAAATAAAAACTTTCTGAAAATCGCTAAAACTCATTCCTTGCAAGAAAAACCATTCACTGTCGTAATAAAAATTGTCAACACCCTCCAAAAACACTCCCGCAAAAATTTGGTAACTCACGAATACTTTCCCACCCGACACAGCATCGAAGCGTTGTTCAAGAATTGTCCAAAACTGTAATTTTTCGTTACTCGAGGAAATAGTTACATCCGACGTTAGATTTTATGTAACTGGCCCCGGAGATTAACCTTTTAACGTCTGGCCATGAAGATAATAGCTTATTCCAGGCTCCGAGGTAGTCGGGTCCATGAAATTGCAGAAATTGAAAATCGCGAAGACGAAAAAAAAGGGGGGGAAACTAGGGAGAGGAAGGGCGGCGGCTGCCTTCCATTTTCCCGCCTTCGCCCTCTTTTCCCTGATCACGCGCTCATATTTTCGAGTGCCTTTCACTTACACGTCATCCCTACTACCTGAGAGCCTGGAACAGGCTATGAAGATAAAGAGATTGACTGGACTGACCGTCTGGCCCCAGTGGTTTAAATGGTGGATAACCCCATCCACCTGATGAAATTCTATCCACTAAATAGCGCAATTGTTTTCCCTGATAATTTTCCACGGGATAGTGAACCAGTTCAAGTAAATTCAATTTTATCCGAAAAAAATTTGTTTTTGAGTGAAATTTCGTCTTCAAGTCGGTTAAAAAATCAAGACAAGAGTGTTAGTAAATACAAATTATTTTCGGATTTAACGTTCAGCGTCGTTTTAAGATTTGGGTATTGGACCAGAAGGGGTTCCTGTATTGAACAAAGTTGGTAAAATAGACAATCACAACATCATTTAAAATGTTGCTCGTGTTTAGCGTGTGCTTCAACAAAATCGAAAGAAAAGCTTCACTAAAATAAAGACCTGTAATTTACATTATCGCGCAGATCGAACTATTATAAATCCGGCCGAAAAAAATGTCTGAAGAAGCAGTGAGTGCGGAACTTTGTAATTTAAGGGGGCTATGTTACGCTATTTGCTATCTTTTTAAAAAGCTTAATGTTTTCTTGCATCAGTTGAATTCCATTAATAATGGTCATTGAAACTGCTTCCTGTCGTCTGTTGCTACGAATGGCAAGGATGGACATGGATTGAAACTTGTGAAAGTTGGGCCAATGTTTTCAAGTTTTACTTGCTGGTTTTCAGTGTCACGCCATACAAAATAGATCAAAATAAAAATCAAAACCGTTCAATAGATAAAGTCCAGAATCTGGGGAAATGAAATGAGGTAAATATGCAAAGACCCTCGCCAAATTTCAGGTCAGAGGAATTTTTCGTATGCGAGATATCCGAAGAAACGTTTTATCCAAATTTATAGAGATTTGTATGGAGACGCCATGCTGGTGCCCATCCGGATGAGCACCAACTTGGCGGATGGAAACCAACGAAACATCTGTTACCGAGTTTTGCTACAAAAGCGTGAATTTATTCTTCAAGGAACTCATAAACATTAAAGTAATACTTTTTTTAATACATGAACTGTTTTACTAGATAGCTCAATCCCCTGAAATAAGTCGTTTTTTAAACCTACATGACAGCTCTCCTGGCAGTCATGTAAATGCCGCCTCATGCAAAAGCTTAGTAATTCAAGCGTACAGTCTATCACAAAACCAAGAACCCTTTTGAAACGAAAATTTGGGTGAAAATTAGTTTTCAGCTGCTCTAATACATCGTGAAAGTAAAATCTTGGTAGGATCGATAGTTTTGTAGTTTGAATTTTTTTGTCATATGAAAGCCAACAATACTAAGCCTGCAGAAAATCACCAAAACATAATTGTAGTTAGTGCTCCCTGATGACAATTGTTTGATATCTTCTTCATAACTCTACATGAGCATTTTGTGTTTGGGTAAAGGTATTAAGTAATGAATTCAGCACTGAATTGACCTAAAATAGCGTACGTGCTGGTTCCACTTCAAAGTAGGGAGCTAAGCAACGACGACGGCAGTGAAAACGTCGCCAAAAAAATGAATTTGGGTCCTCTCAAACTTTGCGTCGTCTATTGAACCCTGCCAGTCTGTCAAAGGTAGGCAATTTCTCCTGGAGTTGAATTCTTAAGGACTTTATCCAGGTTCAAAAAGAAAAAGGAAAATTCTTCGTCGTATGTTCACGTCCTCTACAAAACCTCGCCTAAGGACGTTCCACGGTGCAGTAGATGTCAAAGAAATGTACTAAAAGCGTGATGCACGTTCATAACTCTTATTTTGCTCGTAAAAACCAATTGTTTTTTGTCGTTGTCGTCGCCGGTCGCTGCCGCCGTAGTTGCTTAGTCTAGCTCCCTATTAGTAACCAAAACAGACACCGTGGCGATATCCAGCTCGGATTCTTTGCCTTCCGGCAATGAGAAGCAACAACCGGAAATTCTTTTTCTTCTCAGGCTAATATTTCGATTGATGTTCTATATTTGATTCATCGTGATTCCAAATTCGCCACCCTATTTGTGTATTTGCCTGATGTAGCTCGTGTGGCGGAATAAATAGCCGGCGTTATTTGTGTATTTTCACAGGAAACGAGTGCCTTAGTTGTACTTACCTTACCATGTATATTAGTGTTTTTCTAAAAAAAAATATTGCTGATCCAGGTTTGGAGAACTTTTGGGGTTCTATCGCCTGATTTTGCTCATTTTATCAATTACTGCTTTCGTTTTTTTCTTTGCAGATTACTTATAAAAAGTACAGACTGAGAAAAAAAATTTAATCAAGGCCCATCATAAAAACCCTCTTCTTCCAAACAGAACCTGCAACTGTCATAGCTGAAGCTACTCAAAGGTAACAACGTTACTTAACTTCATGAACATTGATTAGTAGACAGTAAGTGATCGTTTGCCAATCACTCTGCTGCTCAACGTAAAAATGACTAATCGAGGAGTAGTAAAGGCTTTTCTTCCGTACGCCCTACTGGCAAGTGCACTATTTATACTGCTGCAGAGCATTCCAATAGGTGCGGGAATTGTAACCATTGCATTATCACTGATATGGTACAGCAGCCGCTGTTCGGTTGATATCACAAATGTAGAATTTCTTAAGCTGCACGACGTACCCCACCACAGAGGGGAAGTGTCCGCTCTTGTGACGTCACAATGGCCCGTTCCCGTGACCGCCGAGGGAATCGAGGAAGCTAACTTTGTGCGCACCTCAAGCTTGAATGAATCTTGCGACACCCTGCCTTGTCATTTACTCGCTCTAGCGTCGAAGAACGGTATCAGGCAGGTTGTTGCGCACTGTGTCTTGCGAGAAACTTCGTCTTCCAGACCGCAAGACATAAACAGATATCTGAAAATGCTGAAAATTGGCCTGCCTCACGCAGCTGTACAACAAGCCATGGAAACGGCAGGTTTAGATCCCTCAAAATTACCCGATCATTTCGAGGAAGTAGAGTTTCGTACCTCGCATAATCTGGGAGAACTTCAAAACGTCAATCTATCTGCTCTCGTTGTGAAACCCGAGTTCCGCGGTCGTGGCCTGGGGAAGGCTATGTGCGCGTATGCAGCTCAGGTAGCTTCCGGTCTAGGTGCACAGGAAGTTATAGGAGGCTGCCTTGATGAATTACTTCCCTTTTATGGCAAGCTTGGTGTTAAAAAAAGGAGTGCTAAGAGGAGAGAAGGTATACCTAAGATACGGCTTGGAAATGAAATGTTTCTTACGCTAGATGACGATGTTCTTAAAAAAGCGGAGAAGATGCTTGATGAGTCGAAGTCCAAATAACTTTGTCTGAATTTGAATGCCATTTTTGGGTGATTTAAACCTTTTTAATGGCGGAAAAAACCCAGCTCGCAATTTATTGTCTGTTGCGGTTCTTTTGGTCCTTACACGTTACTGGCAGCAGCCGATCCAAACGGGACAAAATTAAATCCAATTTTTTACGTTTGTGGATTATATATATATATATATTCAGCCAAGTGCCACAGAGATGTAAATTTTTTTTTATCAGCTGAGTACCGTATAAAAGATTTACATGTGACGTTTCCAGTGTCAGCACGTAAGGGATTGTTGGTTATGTGTGGTGTATGTATTGAATGGTGGTGTTTTGTTATTGGTCAGCTATTGGGGGGAGCGTGGTAACATGAAAAACGCTCATTGTGATTTTTTGGAAATATGGAGTGCCGTTTTAAAAGACAGTAGGTTAGTAGTTAAAAGAAAGCTCGTTTAAAAGGAGAAGCCCTGAAAACAAGATTGCACATGAAAAGATACTTTGCAAAGAATTCTGCAATACAACACATCTAAGTGTTGAAGCTTGTTGACGTACTCTACGTGGTTTCTTCTTTCGTCTTGAGAAATTAATTGATTATAGAACTTTCATAGTCATTAGTTAAAAAGAAAGAAAAATGACTTTAAAATGTGTAGCATAATTACTGATTAACCCAGTGGTGTACGTTGTGCGGGCCCACAAATAAAGAACAGAAACGAGTAATTTAAATAAACGTAACAAGTAAGAATCCCAAACCAGTTGGCTATTGACACGCATAGCCAACGAGTTGAACTCCCTAAGTTCGCCAGTGCATTCGTAACCCATCCTTGACATCGACGTGCAGCCTCATTCTGGTGACAAGACTAAAGAAATCGAAAAGGAAGAACAGTCACCTCACTCTTAACTAGCACCTCTATGAAACGGGCATCTAGAGTTGGTCCCTGCCTTTTTTTATTCCTTTTAGGTAACTCTCTATAAGACGGACACAAAGTGCCGATCCCAAAGGTGTCCGTCTTAAAAAGAGTCGAATTTATCCCAAAACATCACTTCATAAAAACTGTTTCGAAGTTATACATGTCTGGTGAACGGTTTGATGGAAGCCCAATCACTTTTCACATTTTGTCGAGACAAGATATTGCGATGTAAACTGAAGTGTCGTCATCCCGTGATTCCGTGAAGTGCGGGTAGAAAAGATTTGAAAATTAATTCCTCAGTAAAACTGGGCGAAAGTAGTACAGCGGCTAAATAGCATTTATTATTCGACTTATTTGACATGAAATTGTTATCAAGGCCCTTAATGCTAACTATTTCCACTCTAGTTTTCCCAAAATACTGACCCGAAGAATTTGTCTGTGTTCATACTCTAAACAGCAGCGTTCTTCAGTTTCACTGATTTGTTACTGGGACCGAGGAACTTCTTCAATGATCAAACGAGACACTGAATTCCAGCCTGTTTGACTATTGGAGTTTCCATATCCTGCACAGTTTCCAATGTTGATTCCAACTCTGATTCGACCTTTGTGTATGTTGTTACAGTAGCCCTCAATGAAGCCCGGTCTGTGGTTGTCTTGATCACTTTTCGCGTTCCACACCACTGCGTCAATAGGTAAGGGACCAGTGCACTCGGCACCATTGAATGTGATGAACTATCGCTTGCAGCAGTTGTTACACCCCATCAGTCTTAAGGTACCCTGGTAAACAACACGAAGAGCACTGTCGTCGCTGGTTTTGGTGAACTGACAGTCCTATAATGACCGCAAAAAGATTGCTAATGGATAATGCGATGCGATAAGGATACTAGTGGATAATTCTATAGAAATAAACGACACTAACGGCGTGTGTTGGTATAGCCTTAAATAAACAGTCGGGCAACAAAGGTACAATTTTCTTTTGGCAAATTGTTTCTACTTTCTCTGTTAAACTTACTGAGTATAATGCTCGTAGCACTAACTGGACCTGTCGCTTTGATTGCCGAAAAATCAACAAACCTTGATTAGTCCAATATCACTGTTGTCGTTCATTTTCCAGGCGCACTGTTTCCAGTTTCTGTCATCAGTGTCTTTTCCACTTGCTCCCATTTCTCCCTTGATTCCACGTGGTCCAGGGGTACCTGCCACGCCCTTTTTACCTTCAGCACCATCTCTGCCGTCGCGGCCTGGTAACCCGTTATGTCCATTGACTCCGTCACGTCCAGGGAGGCCAGGTGATCCTTGCAAGCACGTGTTTGAGTTCTGTGTTATATGAATTTAAAGAAATGAGAGGGAAAAGTAAGTGGGCATAGAAAAGCATAGAATAACAGTGTCCATTTTTATTTAAAGGGGAAAAAAGTAAAAGAACAGACAAAGTGTTTAAATTGTCGTTAACCATACAAGTAATACAGATTCAATCACGTACAAACGTTATTCATATTCTTGAAGTCATTCGCGTTTAACAAGCCGTTTCTTTGAAAGGCTTTGATTGTGGTTGTTTAATTGATGGGATATTCGATATGTCGCTCTCTTTGCTCGATATATGGGAATCAAATGTCATTTCCAATGTTCGTTTTCGCCTTTATAATTAATTCAAGAAAATGTAAAAGAGAACAACAAGTACTTTGTTGTCATTTACAAGATTGTGTTTAAAACATATAACCAGCTTTGGGAAAAGTAATACGGTAACTTTTCTTACGACATGACAAAGAAAACAGTTATACTAGTTATCGGTTCTAGACAACAGTGTTAATTCGGTTTATATTGCTGCAAACATTCAGAGGTTTGTGCGCATTTGGACGGTTTTATAAAATTTGCGCTTAATGTCATTTTTACCGATTTTATCACACATTTGCGCGCTACTTTTTCATCTTCATACGACAGCAGAGGAAACCTACCTTGGCTATAGAGGAAACATTTTTGACAGTATAAACAGCACACACCAAATACACAAACCGGAAAAGTAGGCATTCAAAAACAAGATTTCTGGCCATCTGCAAGTCGTAAAACGTTGGACGCAAAACTGACTTCGGAGCTGAGATAAAAAGTTTTAAACTCCAATACGAGCGTACTTGATGTGTTGCGACTTTTAATACAGTGGAGGACGAGAATGAAATGAATTCAGTTTTTGAACCAAAGACAGGGCGAAAAAGGCGTGGTGCTGACAAACTTCTAGGTTAACTAACTTCTGGGGATAAAATATTGATAAGAGAAGCACCTACGGTAATTTGATCTTAATATGAAATCATTTTTTCGTCCCTCGAACGTGCTCTTAGCCTGGGACCAGGCTCTTTAGTTGGAAAAAGGGACGAATAACGAGTCGACCTCGAAAAAAGGGGCGAGCTCCCCCTTAACGCTATTAACCCGTTATTCGCCTTTTTTTCAACCAAGAAGCCTAGTACCAGTCTAACCAATTGGCGTTGCTAGAGCAGCGATATCATTAGGGTTAATAATATGATACACTTTCATGACTCTACCTTAAGTATATACCATTGAGAGTCGTGGCGCTAGCCAAAAGGATCGCAGCTCTGAGGACGAGGATGCCTGCAACCGAATGGGACGAGGAGAAAAGACTACAGAATCATGCGCATGTCAAAGCCCAACTTATTGACCTCCACGCGAACCGATGTATGGCCTGAGCTTTGCCTCGTCCCTGTACGGCGTCCTCCAAGGCCTTCTCGGTCAATGCACTTCGGGAAAGTGACGTATACGAGACGAACGACAAGAGAGCTCGCTTGGAACGCGTGACCCAAGAAGGATAGGCCGCGCGGAATGATGAGGCCTTGGGACTAGGCAAGCCGAAGCTTAGGTTTCTGAAAAATTTCGGCATTGAAAGAGTATCAGGTGAACGGCAAAATTTTCAGGAAATTTGTATGTTTTTTCTGTGTGTGTGACTCAGGGATTTGTCCAAATTTCCAAAATGATGTATGTCACCATAAATGTATCCTTCCTAAGTCATTTGCTTTTAAGTTTGCCTCCCGAGTAAAAAAGCTTATTTTTTCGTCAGGCGTTTTTTGAGTTAATGCGTATATCAGCTTATGTTTGTAAAACAAAAAGTGGCAGTTCAAGCGTTGATGCTGGTTTAACTTTGTTGAACTAGCCTGTTCTGGCGTTCGGATAGTGGAGTGCAGCGCGAAGGAAGAGAGCTGTCCCCACGATCTGAACGCCTGGAACAGGCTATGTTGAACCGACTAAACTAAATTGTAATGACACACTATGCCAAAATGATATTACATGAAAAAAATTAAGGACGCCAAAACGAGAGCTTTTTATCAGTTATCCAACACGTAAGGGGTATGTTTTCTTTTTTTGGCCAATGTAGCTTGTAAAATTGAAAGGGGCTATTGATAATAAATTTTAAGAGACCAAACGTGACTTTTTTAACTTGTATTACTCATATTCATTTGATTGACTACACAGAGATTTGCGAAATTCACTCGATATAAAACCAGTGGAAAAAATCTTTTGTTAATGATTTTTATTTCGGTGGCAAAGGGTTGTTCATACACCAGTACTCACGTGCTCAGTAAATGGGTGGCCTTTAACTGACTTATTTTATATGAAGATCTAAAAAACACCTTAAAATTGTTATCGTTTTCCCTGTGGTTACTTTATCTTATTATCCGAAGAATTTACTTTTCTTAAAAATCACGTGAACTTTCTTTTTTTGTCACTGGGACCGAGGAACTTCTTCAATGATCAAACGAGACACTGAATTCCAGCCTGTGTAACCATCGGAGTTTCCAAATCCTGAACAATTTCCGATGTTGATTCCAACTCGGATTTTGCCCTTGTGTATGTTGTTACAGTAGCCCTCAATGGACGCGGGTCTGTGGTTGTTTTGCGGACTATGTCTGATAAATTGCACTGCGTCAATAGGCAGGGGACCACTGCACTCAGCTCCATTGAAAGTGATGAACCATCTCTTGCAGCAGTGACTACACCGTCCCAAATACAGGTTTCCTTGAAAAGTAACATGGAGGGCAGTGTCATCCTTGATTTTAGTGAACTGACAATCCTGCAACAACAAATAAACACTGAACAAATATTTTAACTGAAAATGTCATTATCACGAGCCCATTATTTATACCCTATATTCCGTTTGAATAACCTATTTTTTTTTAATAATAATAATAATGATAATAATAATAACAGTTAAATATCAGTACATCCATGGTATGGTTGTTCGACTGATATAAAAGTAAAATGAGGAAATTAACATAAATCTGAATTATGAATTTGTAAAAAGCTAGGTAATAAATAGTTAAATGTAATTATACAATATATACATACATTATCTAAAACTAGGCAAGAAATCATTCCGCCTTATTCCGGCAGCGCTCCCTTAAAATACATAATGTTTGCTTACTGAAGGATTTAAAATTATCACAACATTTAACATTGGATGGCAGAGAATTGAAGAGGGCTGCCGCACTATACTGAAAAGTGTCCGAGGCGTGGGGAATAACTATATTTATGGTACTTGATAACCGTAAATTTCTAGCATGTCTTACATGCTCAAGCTGAAGGTTTCTGGGCCAATCATGACAGTATATAGCTTTTTGCGCGGCCTTTAGAACGTGCCGTTCTCTACGTTCTTTCATAAGGAAATAACACTGGACAACGTTTAGCAATAACTAAAAAAGTGGGCTGATCGTCAAACAAGCACAGAGCCCGGGATGATATTTTGAGATGGCGAGTGTTCATGCCAACTGAACTATAGCTTTGATCGCGGATAAATTAATTAACGAACCTTGATCAAACCAATGTCACGGCCATTAGCGTTCTTCCACACACATTGTTTCCAGTTCCCGCGATCAGCGTTTTTTCCACTTGGTCCCATTTCTTTTATACCACGTGATCCAGGGGTACCTGCCACGCCTTTTATACCACGTGATCCAGGGGTACCTGCCATGCCTTTTATACCACGTGATCCAGGGGTACCTGTCACGCCCTTTATACCCCGTGGTCCAGGGGGACCTGCCACGCCCTTTATACCACGTGATCCAGGGGTACCTGCCACGCCCTTTATACCCCGTGGTCCAGGGGGACCTGCCGCGCCCTTCTCACCTTTAGCACCATCTTGGCCGTCGCGGCCTGGTAACCCGTTGTGTCCATTCATTCCGTTAAGTCCTCGCACGAGGACAGGTGATACTTGCGAGCACGTTTTAGATTTCTGCGTTATATAAATGTACAAAAAGAAAAAAAATAGCTTTTCCAATAATAAGCCCCAGGTACGAGGCTGGGAAATAGCACACTCACTATTTTGCACTTTTCTTGGCAATACTTTAGTTCAGTTAAAGTATTAATTGACATTAAGCATAAGAAGCTCAGCCGACGCCTTAAAATTATCATTCTCCCTCAAGGAGGTGACACTAGCACAAGGAATGTGCGTTTATAGTAAACCCTTTTGCGGACAAAATTTGATGGCAGGTGTCTGTTCGATAGAATCGAGTGCTTAGAGCGAAAAACTGGAGTGCCAATTATAATTTGGAAGCTGTAATCTTAAAATCTGAATTTTGTTACCACTTACGCTGATGCATGGAAAAATCTCGCTGCTACTTTATGACTACCAAACTCAACTTAAAACGCCGTTCAATCGGACTTGTCCCCCCGTTTTGTTTGCCGAGTTTAACATAAGCAAATTCTGTGCGTTGAATAATCTTACCTTAGCGAAAGCTGTGGACGACACCGACAGAAAAAGTAGACACCAAACAGATAGATCTCCTTTCATCTTGAGGGTACAAAAAAAAACTATAAAACAAGTTACGAACGGAGGAAAAGGGGCGTCGAAGTCCAATCGCACAAGTGTTGTGGTGTTCTGTTTTGTGTGAAGTTGGAGACGAAGGATAAAAGTTCACTTTTTGAATTAATTTTAACGAAATTTTTCTTGTTGTGTGAACATTAATGACAGAATGCATTGTTTACTTAGTGCAATAACAGCGAGCAGGAAGATAAGTATATACGGTCACGGCTATTGAACGTTTCAAATATGAAAAAATCTTTGCTTGATAAATCTTGATTAAAGCCAGGCGACCAAACTAGATGGACTTAAAATAAATGTTCCTATTTTTATGAAATTCAAGGTCTTGGCGCAGGTTTTGTCTCTTTTTCACCCGAAAAAATTGGTGATGAATTGAATTTGAATAGGGACTAAGACATTTCACTTAGGCGGGTAACCCGAAATTTTCCTAACATTTGATTTGTTACGGTGTTTTCGGGAGTTTTTTGTACTTAGAAAATCCATGAACGGTATAATTTGCCATTGCACTTCAACAGCGCCATTTCACTGTCTAATAAAAGAATGATTAAAATAGGCCCTACTTATTATTATTTGCGATGTATCGCGGATCCTTATTGCTTTGAGGCTTTGAAGCTTTTGTTCAGGCAAATTGTAAACCAGACGAGTATTTATACAATTTCAGACTGTTTTAATACTGGCAGAGTTGCTAAAAGGCCCGCTGAATAGTGACCGGCGGAGGCTTACCAATAGATATACATTTTTTTTCTTCCTTCAACCTTATTTTCCCAGCAGTTTCAGTATTGTTAAGTTAAACTTTTCCTGAGCGCAGCAAATGAAATCTAGCTCCCAAATAGAGTTTTCGTCATAAAATGCTTACATTTTTTCTCAAAATATTCTTAAACAAGACTCGCTAACGGAATCTCTCTATAAAAAGTATGACAGAAAGTAATCCCGCCAAAGATTATTCCGCTTGCTTACCTTGATTCTATTCTTGATTATTCAAAGATATTCTATTCTTGATTACCGTTAACTTAGCCAATATTCTTTCTACGTGGATCAACTTTCGAGGCCTGTAGTTTACGGCTGCCTCCTAAGCATTAAAATGCGGGCTGCAAAGCACACGCTAATGATCGTGGTTCTGTTTCTCAGCGTTTTGATCTGTTCAAAAGAATGTCGCTACTGGGAAAATTGTTCTCAATCGAAGCAACACTAACAGAAGATGGTAGGCCTGTTGTCGTTGATGCACAGAATAGGGACCTTAAGCAAGAACGAAGACGAGGGCAGTGAAAACGACGGTAAAATAATGAATTTGCGTTCTTTCAAACTTAATCGTAGCCTGCGTAGCAGGCGCTTGACCCAAGCGCCTGCTACGCAGTCTAACTTAATCGTGTCTATTTGGATCCGGTCAATATGTCAAATGCAGGCGACTTTTCCTGGAGTCGAATTCTCAAGGATTTTATTCAGGCTCAAAAAGATAAAGGGAAATTTGTCGTATTATGTCCACGTCCTCCATAAAGCGTCAAATTAGAACGTTTCACGTAGTAGTCGTGCAGTGGACGTCAAAGAAATGTACCACAGAAAAAGCGTGATGCACGTACAGAGCTGTTGTTTATTGTTTTTTTGAAGTCGTCGTTGTGGTCGTCGTCGTGGTTGCTTAAGACCATTGAACAACAAATACATCACCTCATTCTCCAAGGCCTTCAAGGCACCCTATGAAATGGAGTTGAGCGGTTTCTTCTCCGTACAATGATCAGTTCACGTCTCTTTTCTATCGTAAAATATAAGCAACTTGTTTTATATACTCAGTATGCATGGTAATTTTATCTAAACCTTTGCCTACCTTATTATAGGAAATTATCGCTCCATGAAATTAACGCGAATCGTTAAAATTCGCGTTAATTTAAGTCGCGTTTATTTTGTTGAGCGTTAATTTCCGCGACGTTAATAAAGTGCAGCGTTAATTTCCGCGCTCTTAATTTCCAGTATTTTAACCCCAATTTTGGAACCTGTCCAGATATTCTTGACACCTAAAAAACATTAACTACAAGCTTTCTTTCTTTCCATTTACCCTTTATTTTTCATCTTTCACAAAAGCTAAGGCGAAGGTTTACAATATTTCGAATTCATCTTCATCGTTGTCTGCGTTGTCGCTGTCAGAAGTGATATCAATATCTTCTCCTTTGACCAACTGTGTCTTAATCGCGTTAATTTCCTTTATTATGAAATTCTACCTCCTCTTTCGCGTTAATTTTCTTTATTCGAAAGTCATTTTCCATTAAATTCGCGTTATTTTAAGTAGCGTTAATTTCCAATACCTTAATTTCATGGAGCGTTAATTTCCTATAATAAGGTATACAAGAAAAAAACTGTTGACAACAAACACACTTTTTGGGTTTCAAGTAGATTCTGTGGATTCGTCCTTAGAGACTTTGCCCATTGAATGATACTGAGCACATCCAGAAGAGCTGTCTTGGAATTATCGACGACATATTAAAAGACGAGCAAATCGGGATTCATAAACAGACTGCTGAATCGTTCAAGAGTAGCCGGCTAGTTTGAAATCATCATACACTGCAGCTGTTGTCTTGAATTGAGGTGCTAGGAGCTGATGGATCTTTCGAGCTGTGAGCGCCCTAGATAAGAACCCTAGGGATTTTGGTGCTATAGGAATTATGATTGTAATTATTGTAAAGTTTATTTCATTATGTTAAAAAATGAAGGCGGCTCCCGTTATGGAAGTTGTAACTCAAATGCGATGTTTCTTCTGTGAAATCTAGCACAGGATTAAAAGTCAGTCTTGATAGTCATATTTAAGGGTGACGAATGGTCTTTGTGAGCACTCGCGAGCATGCGAACACTGTGATTTTTTCGCGAGCAAGAGCAGAGAAAAAAATTTGTTTTGCGAGCAGCGAGTAGTTTAGAGAGTACAACTCGCGAGCAGCGAGCACTTCTTAAATTTTCCGCTTGCAGCAATCCATATGGAAATCCTTTTCTTTAAAACAAAACAGAAAATATTTTTGAAAGACTATGTGATACTCATCGCTAAGTTCAAAGAGATCAGTGGACCCTTTATAATTCGAAAGCTCGCACAAACCCTTAAGAGAACTTCGTCTATGGTAAAAACACACCTGTACACAAGCGATCCCGAAGATTGTCTAACATTCAATTACGAGTTCACCGCTCGGGTAGAGAAACATCTTGTGATTGGAACAGTTTGGGAAGTGCAGTTCACAGACGAAGATTTTCATATCGATTTAAACCAAGAGCTCTACGACGAATGTCTCGAACGTACAAGGGGGTCGAAGAAAGGGACATGAGTGATGTGGATGAAGAAGAACTTGAAGAGGAACAAGATCCTCGTGTCAGAACAACCTCTTCTGGAAGAATCCTAAAGCTTCCAAACCATTTTTATTGAAAACACGGCCTAATTAAAGCCCAGTGAGTAGAGCAGTAGAGAAACTCACAGGAACTCAAGGTAACAAATTTTCTCTTTTTAACCATATATAGCTAGATTAGCTAATTTATTATTTATCGTTGTTATTTATCTCGTGCATTTCCACTGAACTTGATAGCCATATTTATAGGAATTAAGCACCATACAGAACTATATTTACTTTAATCCAAAGAAGGATCCACAAAATCTCGAGCAATACTGACAAGAAAGCGAGCATGCGAGCAACTGCAAAAATTTTGGGAGCACGAGCAAGCGAGCACTCGTTTAAATTTTGCGAGCAAATCGAGCAAAGGTAAAATTTTGCGAGCAGTTAAAAATTTTAATGGGACCATTCATCACCCCTATATTTAGCATGACTGTTGGCGAGAAAGTATGGGAGAAAAACATTTCAGTCAATGCAATTTATCAACCGTACTGAAGCATGATTTCCATAAAAAGAATTGACAACATTTATGTTTTATTTGTCAGCTTACCCAGTCACTGATGAGTAATAGAAATATATGTTGGCAGTCCCTGAACGCCTCCATGAAACATGCGAAACTGATGGCATCCTTTATCGAAAAAGCCGAATGAATGGGATATTGAGTACTTAAAGTTTGTTTTTGATGAAAAACAAATGCCATGTACTGAGTATTTTCGTCGGTGAATTAATTATTGTGAATTTATTCTTGTTTTGATTATTATGACCGCAGACCACAAATATGCCATCTTTTGATTTTTTTGTTCACGTGCTTTGTTTAGTAAAAGGCAACTGTGTCATTGATATTATACAAATACAATAGACTGTGTAATCAAAAGTTTTGCTCCTTGCGATATACTTAGAAAACTCACGAGGTGACCTCAACGGGTCCGATCATTAACAAATCAGGAGTACCCAACGAACATTTTTCGCAAAATTGACTATACGATGTCGTAAACGCTAGCTAGCAAAGTGCTTTTACGTCAACCTATGTTAATATTTAACTTTCCTGGGAAAAAAATACCC